GTAGATTCGGCTGAGCCAAGTGCACAGTAGTTTTTTCGCCTTTATTCTTTTCTGTTTCATATTCTAGCCATTGTTTTTGCATCTTGTTTTCACACCATTTGATTTTTGTAAAATGTGAAGTTTGTCTCACAAATACAATGCATTATTTTGAGCATGTCCACATAGTCTCAATTTATCTTGAATAGTTTAATTATTTATTTACATTGAAATGAACCAATTTAGTGCTGCTGGACCACTGTTTTAATGGACAGGGGCATTTTAGTAATTTTGGGTGACGTTGTTTTCCTTAACAAAATTTATCATGGATTATTTTCAATATTGTTAACACTTTTGTTTTAATATTTGAAGAATTAATAATTTGACTTGCATTTGGTATTTGAATTTGAAGTTGGATTATTCTTTAGTTGCATTTAGGCTTTGCTAATCATGATGACATGGAAAATTGATTGGCTTAAATAATTTATTAGAGTTTGGGGATGTTACAAAAACTAAGGAAATAAAAAGGGAGACCACCTGGAGGGACATGTGCTGGTGGCTCCCTCCTTTAAAAAAAAGAAAATACATCCAAAAGGCATATTAGATCTGATAAATAGCAAGAAAAATGATAAACAATACAATGAACAGAGAACTGGACATAGAGTGATCCGTAAAATATACATTGAAAATCATACCCCCTCCTTCCCATTATATTAGGCGCATTAGTGTTTGGCACAAAAATTAACTCATGGTGATTGTTTTTGAGTCGTACTATTACATGAGGCAAAGACTCCTCCAACTACTTGTTTGTTCACCCGCAAAAAAAAACTAAAAAAAAAACTACCTGTTTGTTGACTTATACAATTTTTCAGCGTCAGCAAAATATACCTCTCGCCGCCTTAAAAAGTCGGTTAGCAAGACCGCACGGAGAAAATATGTGGAGCGGGGGAGGGGGGGGGGGTGAATTGTGGGAGCTAACACACTTTAGATTTTGAGATTATTTTTAAAAAGCTAATACGCTTTAGATAATGGAAAGGAAGGACCAATAGCATCCGTCTTGCTCCAATTGTACGTAGCCCATCGAAGATTAAAGATTGCACTAAATTAGTAATAAAGGAAAGAGATACCTCCAAATGTCCTCGCCATACCAGGCTTTGAAGACCAAACTGATTCCCCATGAAAGTTTAGTGGATTATAGGGCCAGAAAAAGTTCAGTGGATTATAGAGTTAAAAAAGTTTATTGGATTTATTTTTTAAAACAAAAAGTTTATCGGATTAAACCCAGGTAACAAACGCTTGGGCCTCAGCGAAATAATAAGAAAAGATAAATGGCCTTGTTTGAACATTTATACAGCCCTGAGAAGCTCAGCGAGGCCCATTACTTTCACATTCCCAGTACAAGCCTCGCGAGTCGAACGTGGCACGCACACTCGCATCACTGGCCCCTCAGAGCCCTCGCCGCCGCCGCCGCCGCCGAAGATGACGTCCGTGCGCAGCGCCGCCGGGGTCGCGCTGCCGCCGATCCGGCTGGCGGTGGAGCGGGCGCGCCAGGAGGCGCTCCGGCGCGAGCTGGACGGGTGCCAGCTCCTGGCGGGCATCTGGTGCCACGGCTTCACGGTGGCGCAGCTCCGCAGCATCCGCGCGTCGCTCCCCTCCACGGCGCGGCTGCTGGTCGCCAAGAACTCGGACCTCGCGGCCGCGGTCGAGGGCACGCGCTGGGAGTCGCTCCGCCCCTGCGCCCGCGGCATGAACGCCTGGCTCTTCGTGCGCTCCGACGAGATCCCGCCGGCCCTCCGCCCCTACCGCGACTTCCAGAAGGAGTGGCGCCTCCAGCTCAACGACTTCACCGGCGCCGTCTACGAGGGCCGCCTCTACGGCCCCGACGACTTCGCGCAGCTCGAGGCCATGCCCACCAGGGTGCAGTCCTACCAGTACCTCCTCGGATGCCTCCAGATGCCTGCCGTCTCCGTCCTCGCCGCCCTCCGCGCGCGCCAGGAGTCCATGGCGCAGGCCGACAAGCAGCCCGCCGAGGACGCGGCTCCTGCTCCGGCGCCAGAGCAGTGATCCCTCCAACGTCGAGGTTTCTCAGTTACACTTGCAGCTTAAAAGCTGCTCCTTTATTGTTTTTGCACATTCTGAATTCAGTGTAGTAGAGAACACCCACAAAATCATCATAAGGATGCATTGCTCTGATGTATCATCTGTTCATGAACTGAATTTCAAACGGGAAGAAATGTGTTGTTCAGCTGCCATTGATCATGATTCAGACTTGACTCTGCACCAGCGTTGTATTATTAAACAGTTCGTATGTTTCGATTGTCATTATGCACTAGAGTGATTTGCAAGGATTCATTGCACTCGAAATGTGACGCTGAACTGGCATTGATGATTCAAACTTTAGTTTGCACCAGCATTGTATTACTAAACACTTGATGTTTTTCAATTGTCAGCATAATTGTCATTATACTGAGCTGTCGACACTGCCAAAGGTTCCATGTGTTTCTGTTACAATTGCGGGCAAAAGGCACCTTTTTCCTGTTTCGGTAGGTTTATGCTGCAATTCATTACAATTATTGGAAATCCATAAATCATTATGATACACATTGCTCTGATGTACTCTCTAATCCCTCCGTCTTTTACAAGGCCGCTTAGTAGTAGTAGACTGAGGGAGTATCATGCATATCATCACCTGTTGGTGAGCTTCTTTCTCATTTCGTCTGGGAACAAATGTGATGTTGAATTGCTACTACTGATGAGATGCATGAGGTGCTCATCACTCATATTGCACTTTATTTCAGGTGCAATTGGGCGACCGTCTTCTAGAAATTCTTGTAAATTCCATACTGCAGTTTCAGTGCCATCTGCAGTTGCTTGCTCCATCACTGCATACTCAGTAGTCAACTTTTTCACTAGCGTTGGTGTGCTAGAGATTTGTTAGATCTTCTACAAGTGCTGAATCACTGGTGTACTAGACAAAGTTAGGAAGAAGCTTAGATGATGATGTATGTTCTTGATTGGTTGCTTGTTCCTTGTGGAGTAGGGGAGGGGGGCAGAACGAAAAACCTATCAGCATTTGAGCTATACTAGCTATATGGTACACTAGACATCAGCTAAGAAAGGACTCAAGACATGAATTCCAACCAAGAGCTCTCAAATTCCCAGGTAAGTAGCAAATTGGTACATCCGGTCAAGGATTATTTATTTTTTGGCAGCTATGCATTCCCTGGAAAACAGGAAGCTGTGCAGCTGCACAACACATGTACAACCCCAGAGGGATTTTTTTTTTCCTGACAAACTAACACTGGAAACCATGAAAAACACAAGTTAACAGCAACCTACGCCTACGAGTCAATTAGCAAATGAAAATCCTGAATCGAGTAGGAAGAAGAGGAGGATCAAGCTGAGCAGGGAGGCAAGAGAAGTACATCCTTTGGCTCTAATAATTCTCTGCAGCCGTTTTTACTCTGCCCATGGAAAACTTGAAGCACCAATCGGTCTTTTGTTTTTTTAGGGAAGCACCATTATTATGCTGACTGATCAGTGATCACCATTCTCTCCCGTTTGAATGTTCAGCCTACTTGCATGCTTATTGCTGGTCGGTTCAGTCTTGGAATACCGTAAGCATCATTACTTGGTCGCAACTTGTATCAGTTATGACATTGTTTCAGTTAGATTAATAGATGATGGCTTGGGTGCGTTGTTGTTGTTTTCCCCTTGATGATCTTTCACCTAGGTTATGTTCTTATGTGCTGTGTGGTGTTCTTTTTCCCTTTCTAATTAATTTGGAGGACTTCACCAGGTCAGTTGTCAGTCAATGGTGACACAAATTCCGTGCATTTTAGAACTGAATTCAGCACACTGTTCATAAGGTGATGTGTTTACATGCCGAATTATTGTCCATTAAGCTATATGTATGTGCATAAATGCAGATAGTTATAATCAAGTACAAATAAGAAGCTCTCTGAACTCGACGAAGGACCATTTTCCAACTCATCATTAAAAAATGTACTGCATCTGTAGAAGCTAGGGTTCTTGTTGTTGAAGATGTAACCATTTCTGGTGATCCAGATGCTCCAGGCAACCAACCAATATGGCTGGTTCCATGAAAAATGGAACAGACTGAGAGTTCTTCAACAAGCGGGAGACCTTATCTTTTAAGACTGCCAGTTAACTGAATATGAGGGCATAGCTAGGACCAGCAACATTGTGCAAACGGGTAATCTTGTGCACAACATGTAGCTTCTGAATATGAGGGCATGGCTAGCTCCAGCAACAACAAGCTCCAGATGCCAAGTGCCCCTGACTGAGAATAAAACCTCTTGAAGAAGGAAACGATTGCAGTCCTACAATTCGACCTGTGGAATTACAATCTTTACAAATCTACAGGGTTCAGAAACTTTTATTATGTAGAGCAAAAGGGTCGAGTTGTACGCATACAAAGTGAGTTGGTCCAGCTTCTTCTTCTTTGCACTGCGCGAGTGAACGTGACGAGCAAAAAGACGACAATGCATTACCCGATCTGTGAGATGAAGCTTATTAAACTGGGAAAAGAAAAACTAAAATCTTAGTCTCCCCCAGCACGCGTCTTTCAAAATTTAGACTGACTGGGTCTTTCAAAATCTAGATACAGCTAGCAAGCGTATGCGCGGTCAGTCCAGACGACCACCAGATCTGGATCTCTTCATTCCCCTTTGGGCTTTGGTCAACGCTTTTGCTTGGTGAGCATCGTCGACCGGCTGCAGGTTGCTCATGGTCTAGCTACCTAGAAGACGAGCAGCAGCAGCAGGCCTTGGCGAGTCTCCGTGTCCCCTTCCCTCCTTTCCCCAGGTGAGTAGTACTACTAATTAGGATGCTGATGCTAGCTGCTTCCCTCTTGTTTCGATATCGGGACTCCAGCTATCTGAGCACCTGTGTATCTGCTCCTCGACTTTGCTTCCTGCAGCAAGTCAAGGGAGGAAGAAGGGAAGGAAGGAAGTAAGGAGAAGCTGCTAGCGGCCGAAGCCTTATCGCTTGCTGACACGGAAATGGGCGGATGCGAGTTCGAGAGGGCGGAGATAGATGCACTGGAGCGCGTTGCAGGTGATCCAAGCGCGGAGCCGATAAGCCTGTCGTTTTGGCTTCTCAGGCGCATAACCAATGATTTCTCCGATGAATCTTTAATTGGTAGAGGTGGGTATGGAGCGGTTTACCTGGTACGTGCGATCAAAATCCTGTCTCGTTAGTTCTCCCCTCCGTTCACTAATGCTATAACCTTTTTCTGAATCGCATGTATATAAACGCGTTTCAGTGTGTTTGTTCGTTCTTTTTGGTTCTCCGTATGTAATCCATATTGAAATATCCAGAACATCATATATTTTTAAAACCGAGGTAATAGATGTTAAGCAATTCATATGTCGTTCTATAACTAGTAAGTTCTTACTGTGGTCGAATATACAGGGGGTGCTTCCAAATGGGTTACGTATTGCTGTCAAGAAGCTTTTCCAAACATTTGCAACAATTGATTCCAGAGTATTTGAAGACGAAGTTTTTACCGCAATGAGGGTTGGTCATCACAAGAACATAGTGCGAACCATAGGCTACTGTAGTCACACACAATCTGAAGTCGCCCAATACAATGGGAAATCTGTTTTCGCAGACACCAATGAAAGATTGATCTGTATGGAGTATGTGCCTAATGGAAGCCTTTGTAGATATATCACTGGTAAGATCGACAACACGACATGCCTTGGTGTTAGTTCCCCTTCTCTATTCCCTGTTTTATTTCATATATATGGTAGTTTTTTCTGTTCAAAGCATGGAGTTCATGGTTTACATAGAAAAAAGATGGAGCTCAAAGCATCAAACCCCTCCACAGGCTGTTAGTTAGGGAGTAGAAGAAATGTTACTTGGAGCCATGGTGCAACCGCACCTACGCTCAGGGCCACACATCTTCAGGCACCTTCTACCGGAATTTGTGCCTGACACGTATTGTAAACTGTGGCTTGAATCATCAAGAGATGCTTAACAGCTCTATAAGATCACTCCCAAAATTTATTGGCTCCTAATGTGTTATCTTAGGTTGTGGATTTTTTCTAGAGACAATCACACCAATGCATCGTCTCTAAGTGATATTGCATTCAATTTGCTATCAAACGGGGCCTTAGTTGTGCTCCTATACTACGGCACATGGGCCTGCTACAGTACCCGACAGGGCTACATATAATATTTTTAAAAATTCTCGGGCTTGTGCGTCTGTGCTATAGTACTTAGGATGCATGCCTAATATCAGGTGCTACCACACATTAGGTGCTCCCATGCTATCATTTTTCAAAAAACATGCTGACATGTTCCCAAATAATGAATTTTTAGCGTTTACAAGACATGTGTTTGCAATATGTTAAGAAATAAAATCAAAATTCGGAATAGACATAGAGAAACAAAAAAAGACAAATTCAACATAAATATTGTCACAAAAAGGCAAAAGACAAAATGGCACTATTCACATTCAGTTTTGTCTTTTTTGGTTTTCCATGTGTATTTCATATTTTAACATGAAATTTTTACATATTGTAGATGCAAGTCTTGTGAAGACCCACAAATATTTTTTTGGAATTTTTTGAAAGATGTAAATCTGTTTTTTGAAAAATAGTAGTATGGAAGCACAGGATATCTACCCGCAGAAGAGAGCGTTCTTCATCCTCGGCCGGGACGCACAATGTGGGATGTGGTGGCCCGACGAGGACGTGGCGGCGGTGACATGCGCGGCCATGCGTGGTAGCTATGGCGGTTGCGTGGTGCCTTGGGTGCGTGGAGGTGGCGCGCGGCGCGCGCCCGGTCGACCTGGCGAGGCAACAACTTGGGTTGTTCGCTTTGGGTCTGGCGGCAGGGGATCTTCAAACCGACATGGGTCATACGATGGGGCGGTGGCTTGGCCCTCGGGGCCCCTTGAGCCTGGATCCGATGGGGTGTCGTGGGCCTGGCGCGGCTGAGCTGCTCGGGGTTCTCCGGGCAGTGATGGGGCGACACAACCATGGTTTGGTGGCGGTGCGATTCGTGCGCTGGCTTCAGTGGGCGGCACGGATCTAGTTCGTGGTGGTGGACGACGTCCGATGACGCGCAGGTATAGGGGGCCGACTTGGTCCGTGTTGGTGCAAATCTCCACATAGTGCTCTCCTTGCCTGCAGTTTGTTGGTGGCGTCAGTCCGAGTCAGGTTCTCCTCGCGCTTCTATACGTCGGTCCGTCGGATCGGCATCAATGACCACGGTCGGATCGGCACCAATGGCCGAGACCCGGCTCGGCAGCGGGCATCGGGAGTCAGGGGGTAGTGTCCCCCAGGTCCATCGGGACTTGTTGGGATGCAGGCATCGACGCCTCCTATCGTGTAGGACTGGACCGAGACACAGTGGTTGATGCTGAGATAGGAATGGAAGGATGTGCCTTCTGCTCTTCATACTGGGGTTGGTGTGTTGTGATGTAGATGGTTGGTGGTGTCTCGAACAATGGGTGCCAGGGCGGCCGTCCCAGATGGCGGTCCGCATGCATGGTTGGCTCTCCAGCGGGCATTATGTCGATGGTGGTCACTGTGCTTCTTGGTTGTGTAGGCGGCGAGGGGTGTAGCGGCAGGTGGCTTGGGCTCGCTTTCTATTATAGGTAGTGGCGACGTCGAGGTCCGGATCTGTAGGTCTGTGCTCATCGCGGTTGTCCTGGATACCTCGTGATGGCACGGATGAGCTACTGAGTGAAAGCTTCACGCTTTGTGCCGACATGGGCGACGCCCATCGGTGCCGCTCTCCTCTTGAGGGCATCATTGTGATTCTCCTGCCAGGGTTCTAGGTGAAGACCCTTGTTTGTTCGGACTCGGCATCAACGTCGCTTTGTGTCAGTCTCCCTCCCGGAGGTCTCTGCCGTGGAGCTTAGGTGTTTTAGGGCGTGGTGGGTGTTGAGAGAGAGAGAAGAGAGATCGAAGATTCAACTAGATTAGATTGGGGCGGTTAAGTTTGCTTGGGTCGAAAACACGTTACACTTGCCCTAAAAAAACAAGTCATGATTTCACGGGATCTCGTATTAGATTTCACGGCATCTCGTATTAGACCAATGGTTGTATGTAAATTAGGAATTTCCGGATGATAGATACTTCTGTATTCCTCTCTATCTTTATGCATTTTGCAATGGCAAGATCAGATCCATGTCATGTTTGTACAATATATTTTCATTTTTGCTGCAGATAAGTTTCATGGAGAACTTGATTGGAACCAACGTTATAAAGTTCTCAGAGGAATTTGTCATGGTTTGCGTTATCTGCACGATGAAGTGCGCCTTATTCACGGGGATATAAAAGCAGACAATATATTGCTCAAGGATAACCTCGTGCCGCAAATTTTTGACTTTGGTATGTCCATGTGCCTTAGTGATGGAGAATCTTTAATTCATGAAAAAAGCATCCGTGGAACTCTGTAAGCTAACGCTATTTATAATTTGTTTTGTTTCCTTTGACAGTAGGTATTGCGATATCCAAATACATTAGAACTTTGTCTGCCGAATGGCATAAATCTAACATACATATTGTCATGCAGAGGGTATCTGGCGCCAGAGTTGCTTAATGGCGGAGAATATTCCTTTAAGTCTGACATATACAGCTTTGGTGTTGTGATCATAAGACTATTGACTGGATCAATTACTAGCATCAGAGAGAACCAAAGTGTTGATCTAGTAAGAACTTTCTTGATCATATCTGAATGTATCGAGTGCTAACTGTCTTTCTCGCCAGTTACAAAATCAATGTGAGAGAGTGGTGCTGATTTCAGGAACCTAACATTGCAACTGTCCCAAGAATTCCATAATTTTCTAGAAGTACAACAGAAAAACATAGGACCCAGATAAGAGACAATCCATTTTACAGTTTCTCGGTTCTAGAGGACCTAAGTGACAGCCCAGGGCATCCACAAAGCACGGTGTGGTGCTTCCTTATTTGCTGGCTTGAGGCATTGGAGCATGACACTATTTTGATTCTACCGATTTGTTTGTTTTGTACAGAACATGAACAAACATGATCATACTTTAGCAGAAAAAAATTGATGAACTTTTTCAGAAAGTGCACAAATTTTAGAATGAGAAAGGAAGAGAGAAGGAGATCGAAGTGGGTAGAGAAAAATCTGATTTGAGTGTACGCTGGGGGAACTCCCAGATAACTGTAGTCGTATGTGTTTACATTGAATTAACTTCTTCCAGTACGTGTTCATTTCTATTTTGAATCATATATTGGTGAGAATTTGTACAGGCACTTAAACAGTTGAGAAAAAGGTTGGTAAAAGAAGGAGCATTTTCATCATGGCAAAACAAATACCACCAAGTTAGAACATGTCTGGAGATTGGATATACCTGCATGGAAATGAATAGAGATAAAAGGCCTACTGCATCGGAAATTATCCAACAGCTTGATGAAACCGAAAGCGTGAACCATTCTGCACCACCACTTTGGCAGGTACGTCAAATCAAAAGCATAAAAAAAAGGACTGTTCTTCATCTACCTGTTTACTGTAGCCAACGTACTGCTTGAGACAGTCAGTTTTAGCCAGGCTTACATCCTTATAGTAGTACCGTAGCACATTCCTTCTGTTTAGCCATTAGGTTGAATATATAGTATTTCGTACTGTCAAACACACATGCGCATACATGTAACGTGACAGGAGAGATCTTCATTGGTAGTTAGTTCAGGAGGTAGTTTAGGCGCATCTCTTATCTGTTGTAACTAGCTAGGTCTATCTCCTCCTTATCTTTCTCCTCAAGATGTACCTTTGATTCTCTCCAACCGATTGTATGCACTATCAGGGTTATTGTGCCCCTGCTATATAACACGCAGCACGGCCCCTCATGCGAGGTAAGACGTTTCCACCTATCGCACACGTACTTCCATCTCCAAAAATATAAGCACATTACAATTAAATAAGAAAATGCATGACAAGGGAAAGACATGGCTTACAATAGAGAAAACAACAAACTCTTGTGCATTAGGCATCTCTACGCCAAGGGAAGGCGCCTGGTTTCTCTACTTACTCCCTGTCATCATAACAGTTCTTACAATCTACTCTGTGACACCTATAAAAGAATATTGATGTCACACGATGCATGGATGCTTATAAGTTGATTTACATATAGTTGATGCAGTCAGGAGATGAGGAATCCGATACATCGGACACAGATGCTTTTGAGACAGAGACAACAACCAAGTTTGTTCCAAGTGACGAGGAACCTGCCTCAGCAGACATGACTGGAGAAACAAGCACACAAGAAGATGACATGCCTGACCTACTAAGTAAACTGTCTTTGTCAGCGGAACTGTCCTCGCTAGATTTCCTGGAGAAAATCACAGATGGTTTTTCGCATGAACGAATAGTTGGGAAGGACAGTCCTCATGCAGTTGTTCATAAAGCATTTGTTTATGAGGTACGTAGAGTTCTATATTTGCCTCAATGGAAGTATTGATGCTCAGCTTATATCATCCTTAGATTTCCACTTATTCATCGATCTTAATTATGTATACGCACATACTAAACGTATATATATTTTAACAGGGCAACATTTCAGGTCGAACAGTAGTAGCCGTGAAGAGGTTAATTGGAGTAGAAATTAAAGTTAGAAAGTTTGAGATGGAGGCTAAACGGCTGTTGAATCTAGATCACAAGAACATAGTAAAGCTCCTTGGCTACTGCCACGACAAATCTAGAGGACATAAGCTGGTACAGTTTAAAGGAAAACCACCGCAAGACTTTAAAGGAGCTGAACAACTGCTCTGCTATGAATATATGCACAATGGAAGCCTCCGTGAGTATCTTATTGGTATGACACCTACTCCAATCACAAATCAGTTACTGAATTACTGATCTTCCATGATACTGGTCAATCCATTTCTAGCTTGCTAAATTAACTCAATAATTCTCTCCCTGTCTACTTGTTGTTTCTTAGGACAAGAATCTCGTGAAGTTGATTGGCACATGTGCTACAAATTGATCAAAGGGACATGTGAAGGTTTACTTTACCTCCACGAGGATTGTGGAGATCGTCCAATTGTTCATTTGAATCTAAACCCGTCAAATATACTGCTGGATGAACACAACGAACCACGCATCACGGGTTTTGATTTTTCGAAGCTCATTGGTGAAAAGAACACAAAATCCGTATTTTTTCAGATGAATGGACCATTGTATGTAGGATCTCACTGCTATCGGTTTATAATTACCTTTCTGTTCACCATGCAATGTTTACATTTTACAGGCTTGGGACTGATCGATTTTAGCTGGCTAGTTTATGGACTGTAGTGTTTTACTTGAACTGATATGTTTGGATGCATCTCCTTTCTGTATTTTTCAGAGGTTACCTGCCACCGGACTTCCTGTATTCAAAGGGTACTGACCTCAAATATCTAGCTACGGTGGACATATACAGCTTGGGTCTTATAATTTTAGAGATCGCAGCACGTCAAGAGATCAAGGGTGACCATGGAATAATTATTAAGACTGTAAGAGAATTTGCTCAAACCTTTGATCATGTGATACTTTTTGTTGGTTAACGGCAAATAAACAAAAACAATTCATCCTTTATGTTTACATAAATAGGAAAATGTTTTGTACTCTGAGAGTATGTATTCTCAGTTTCTCACTCCTCATATATCACTTATACAGATGTGTTGCACACTCATACTTCCTTGCCACTCTGACTATACTTCGTTAATAGTTTGTAGATACCCTGAAATGAATTATATGCAAATTTTCATTCAAGTCTATATTTCACATCGTTAGAGTATATACTGCATATACGTAGATACAAATATTAGATTGCAAAAATTAAGGGTCCACATGCTTTTTATAATATTCATGCTGGGCTATCGTAGGACAATTAGTTAAGTACATTTAAAATAATAAAGTGACATGTATTCGTTCAATTGGAATGTGATAATATATCATTTAAGTGGTACTATATTAGAATGCGGATCAGCGCATACTCTTAGGACTTAGGAGTATATAATACTCCCTCCGTCCGAAAAACCTTGTTCCTCAAATGAATGTATCTAGCACCAAGTTGTAGTGCTAGATACATCCATTTGAGGGACAAGCTTGGGACAAGTTTTTTCGGACGGAGGGAGTAGGTGGCATTAGTTTGTATTTAAATCTTTGCTCTAATATATTATGTAGGTCGAGACAAACTGGAGGCAAGATTCACAAATAGCAACGCTGTATGGCTCACTAGAAGATAAATTCCGGGGGCAAGTAAAAATGTGCATTGATATTGGCCTACATTGTGTAAAGTCAAAGCCTGAAAAAAGACCTACTGCTGGAGAGATCATACGATGGCTTGACAATGGGAGCAAACCGGTCCTAGGTCAAAGACCAGGAGTTGCCGAACCTCCACTCCGTGCTAATGCCACCCCTGCAGATGACCACATACAAGGTGTACTCCGATCCCACAACTTGAAGTGTTGATTCCTTCTTATACATACAATCAGTTGCTCAAATGAAGAAAAAAGAAGTTTCCGGAAAGAAAAAGTGCTTCCATCTACTTTTAAGTCGATGGGTAATGCAGCCACAATGAACACACACCATAGTCTTTTTTTTCTCTCAAAAGTGAACCACAGTTTTATTTTTATCTGGTGAGGGTAATAGTTATATGTTGATGATCTCATGGGTTTTGTAACATTCATATGTTGTCAGAAAAGGAGAAACAGACGGCATTGAGGAGACTTTTCAGGAGAAAGTAATGCTCAAGTTACTGAAGGCATTTGCGTGGCAGCTGCAATGGCCAAAGTTTCTTCCAAATGATCATTTGGAAGAAACTTTCGAGGTTACTCTGTTTTGCAGCTGCAACCTGCTCTTCGTGCTCTGTTTTGCAGCTGGCGTGAGTGGTGCGAACACCGGTTACTCTGTTTTCCTTGATGTTTTTGAGTTGTAACTTTCGAGGGGCAGTTTTTTGTGTATAGTTCATGCAATGTGTATATAGTTTACGCGGGGCTGGAGAGACATTCAATGTAACCACCTGGGATGGCTTGTATTCTGGTGAATATTATAGATGGTTCAACAAAGTTCATGGTTTTGTCATCGCAAATAAAAAGTTCATGGTTTTGATTGTTTTTTTAATAATATAGCAAGAGAAGAAACGATGGTGCGTCTGATATCAAACTTCGGCAAAAAATAACAGGATTTTTAACACAAAAAGAGATTGGACCTTCAGAACAGAATTCTTGAGTTTTCTGATGATCGACTTTCTCCCGCAGTCTAGCTTTTCTTTCTCCAGCAAACATGCAACCTTCAGAACAGGTTTCCATATAGAAACCGCTTAATTTCTGCAGATGAACTAGATCACGGATCTTGACCAGCAACCATGTAGACTACTTAAACACTTCTACCCATTTTTTTTCAACCAACAAAAACTAATCGGTTCTTACAAAGCAGCAAAAGAAGATGGAAAAGAGAGCTGTGAGTTGGAGAGTGGAATTTCTACCATGCACGGGACCTCCCATGCATGCATGCACATTTTTTTTTGTTTTTTTTTGCCCACTGATATCATTTATGATGTTCTCTCTATACCCTAACATCTGTTATTCTCTAGTCATTAAGTTTCATTCAAACAAATACTAGATGCCTTCTCGCAAAAAAAAAGATACTAGATGCCTAATACATTTTGAAATAAAAATCTATTTTAATTTTTGTTTACATAAATGTGTTTTTTCTTGGCAAGATCTGTAAAACAAGACCAATATTGAATATGTTTTTTGAAATTAATTTTTTTCACAACTAAATCACCAGGCTTCAAACTTGTTTCATCGAAATTTGTTAATTCCATGGAAAAAGTTCATTAATGTTCCTGGTGAAGTGGCCTTTGAAACAAAAGCATTCTTGAATATATTTTGACAAGATTTGAAATTTGAGTCTTCAAACATTATAAGCATTATTAAAGTATAACCCCAAAAAAGATTATGAAACCTAATGAAACATTATGCAACCATCAACGACTTGTTTTATTGTGAGTAACTAGTTGATATGACCACATTGATGGGATACGGCAGATGGATTGAGCAATAATAATAAAGTATGCATGCATGAAGATGAATCTCCTACAAAATCAACGGCCAGCAAATGCACGGGATATCCCGTGCATGGTAGATATGATTTTCTCCTGTGAGTTGAGGCACTAGCAGGAAACCCGCTGTGAGTGCTTGATGTCGAAGCACTCTACAGGGAAAAAACCTACTAACACCGAATACATTCAAATTTAGTAACACATATAGGCAGACGCTAGAAAGCCAACAAAAGAGACCTTAGCACTTGTACCTAATGCAGCATAGTGAGACTTCTTAGTTGACGCAGAAGAGTAGCTAGGTCATTGATCTGGCGTAACAAATATTCTGAGAGCGCTAACCCATGCTGGCAGGTTGTCGGTGTGCCCATGGAGTTTGAGCCTCCGTAGCTTCTCTGGAGGCTTGAAGTCATCACTGCTCGCCGAACAAGGGTCAGCAGTCCCCTCGGTGTCCTTGTCAAGCCATATCGACAGGGATTCCAGATGGCCGTGGCCAGAGACGACGGCGCGGAGCTCATTGTGGTTTCTCCGGTTGATGCCGGACACGCCGAGCTTGCGCAGCTGGGTAAGCTTCTTGAGCTCCTTGAGTCCTGCCACAGTAGCTTTCATGACGCCAAGTGTGTGCAGGTTGGTCAGATTCTCGACCCTGCGAGGCACCTCAACGCCGACAACGTGACCGCCAACAGGGCCACATGAGAAACAGGTGGGTACCGAGGTGCTAGATTCCGTGCTGTCGCTGCCGGCATATTCCTCTGGTGTGTTACCGGCACGAACATACTGCAGCTTCTGTAGCTTCACGACAGTTGTCGGCAGCCTGGCTACGGCAGTGTGCCTCACATCCAGGGTCTGGAGCTGCCTTAGGCGACCCAGAGATTTCGGCAGCCGAAAAATGTTTTTGCATTTTCGCAGGGAGAGGAACTTCAGTCGAGGAAGCCGTTTGACGATGTTCTTGATGTCATAGTCCGTCAGACCTTCAGTGCCTTCCAGATCAAGCACCCGGAGCACCCTCATCTTGTCGGAGGCCAGGAATGGCTTCCAGGGTCCGAACACCGTCACAGACCGCAGTCGGGAGAACTCAATCCTGTTGAACACGTTCTCGTCTCCGTCCCAGCTTTGGTCGATGACCAGGTGCCGTCCAGTGCGCCGTGTGGTCTGGCTGCACCTCCCCTCCAGTGCAAACACATGGTTCTCCTCCATCCGCCGCGAGACAATGTACTCCCGGAAGAAATCGTTGACGTTGCACATGGCCATTTTCCTCCCAGTACTAGTCCCAGTTCCAGTCACTTCCCCAGCCGCGTTGACACCACGCTCAGCATCTGTGAGCATGCTGAGGTTGACGAGCCTGGAGAAGTAATTTTCCCCGTTCACTTCCGCGAGATTCCCGTCAGTATCTCTTGAGTAGCCCTCGGCGATCCACCGCCTTACCAGACGCCTTCGACGAATGCCATGGTGTCGAGGGAAGATTGACAGATAAAAGATACATGGCTTGAGTTCGTCAGGACAGTTGTGGAAATAGGAGTCTAGCCAGCTAAATAGGCTATGTATACTGGCCAGCTCTGGGTTGTTTTCTAACTGGTGAATAAAGTTAGTATTCATGGCCTCCCAATTCAGACTCTTGGCCAAGAAACGACCAATTGCAACTATCACCTTGGGTAGTCCGCCGCATTTGTTTAACATTAGCTTCGACTGCTTGATCATGTCCTCATCCCGTGTGATGTGGTTACCTACGCCGTCATATACCTGAAAAATGTTACAAAGATAAACTCTAATCAACAAATGTTCGAAATGTGAGTACAGTGTCTTCTTGTTTATAACATTGCGCACAAGATACTCTCTGTGTGCTTCAAATAAACTGTGACTTTAGAAACTGCGCAACTAAACTTCTTTATCTATGACCACTGATTAATAAAAAATACTTCTGATCACATAGAATGGTATAATTATATTTTTCTTGAAAATTACTTCGAAGTACAATTTTTCTGTTAACTAACATATCCTTGCAAAATGATAACAATAAAGCTGTGTACTGAAAACCGTGCAACATTGATAAAGTCATTTTAGAACGAATGGCCTATTTTAAAACAGATGGAGTAAGCTGGTATCCTAATCTTCTTGTTTCTTGGCATCTACCTGAACCGAAAACAATTTTTTTTACACGTATGTAAAACAATTCAGATGGAGTAATGTTGATCCTAATCTTCTTGTTTCTTGGCATCTGACCTCGACCTAAAACAATCGGCAATGATTTAATTATGGAATCCAGTCATGAGGAGAGTTCCAAGTAGATAGGGTTATCTTTTCCGAATGGTCACGGAGGAGACAGGGGGGAGGGGTTCCCCACCTGAATCTCATTGAAAAGCGGCCAGACTCCAGATAGAAAGCTAAGGTCCTTTGAAATGTACAATTGCATAGAAGAAACTTGGATGGTACTTTACATATATGTAACTGTGATTTTTCCCTGGAGCATCCAAACACCTATACCGGTAATTCACGCTTTCGTTATTCCTACAATAGCTTAATAACCATAACATAAATTCCTGCACTGGTTGTATGTATACTATGTTATTTTGCAGCGTTCCAAAACATAAGACTAAACTTTGCCACATTTTTCTTCCTAAGACTGGGAAGCTATATATAGTCCAGCCAAGAAGTTGGTGGTCAATACTTTGCCCAAGTTAGTATTAGACTATGGCAGAGGAGGCATGCTGCTATATAAGAATGCAATAAAATCAGACACGGTGTGATTATGACTATGAACCAAGCATGCTCCATAGCTACGGTATGTTGGTGTCTGAATAATGTTCATGCTTAAGGTGGCAAAATGAAATAAAAAGGACTTGAATTTGCAGGAATGGTTATTTTGGAGCAGTGAGTACCGTGTTGAAGAGATCAAGGGCGTCCACATCACAAAGACCTTTGACGTTGAACATGAGTTGTTGATCTTGCCCTGAACAATATTTGGCAACACTTGAATCGTTTGTAACAATTATGACACAACACCCTTCACCAAATGACAAGGCTTGTTTTATTCTGTCCCATTCTTCAGTGGACTGCAGGTCATCGATAACAATAAGGCACTGATTTTGCTGTTGATCGTCACTGAGAAGCCTACGGCAGACATCAACTGGATTGGTCATGTTTGCCAGTTCAGCAACAGCGTCCTCTTTGGTTTTAGCAGGCTCAGAGGACAGGTTCAGGAGCAAACTGCGGCAGAACTCCCTCAGATTGAAGGGATGGGGCACGTTCACCCACCCGTGTATGAAGCTCAGATTTAACCCTGAAAGGTTGGGACGGTCATGCACATACTTGTGGTAGGCACTTCTGACAAGTGCCGATTTTCCCACACCAGCGATCCCCCATACAGAGATCACACGGGAAACCTCATCAATCTGCTCCATAAGCTCCTCCTCTTCTGTGTCACGCCCAATAAGTTCAGTTTCGTCATCTCCCTCCAGCATTGCATTTCCAGGATCATCACCTCCAGAAACCTGACAAGACAACAAGAGTTACACCTCCAACATTGCATTTCTTCAGACAATGAAGAAATGACAAGTGAATAATGTGTCACCGTGTGCTTAATTACATACCTCCTTGAAAAAGACACAGACAGAGTGGTCATGAGTGAATTTTCTCAATTCTGAAATTTTGTGCAGCTGCCCGGTACACAAGCTCGCGATGTCGAAATGCTGCGTGGATACAATGATCTGGCTCCCGTTACCAATGTCTGGCAGGAAAATCCGGAGGGCATCCCATTCCGCCATGGTTGACAAGCCTTCCAGGACGACAAGGAACCTGTGAGTGTTCACATGAGTCACAAACTGATTGACTAGCTCGCCTTCTTCCACCGTCGTCTTCTCTATCCTCAGCAATACATCTAGAGTTTCTCTTTGTTTTTGAGGAGCAGCGGTGTTTGTGCAGAACTGAATGAGCAAGCTTCGGAGGATCTTCCACGGATTGAAAGGGTGGGTCAACCTGGCCCAGCCACGACTCTGGAAGTTCTTGCGTATTTCAGGGTCGTCGTAGGCCTTCCTGACGATGGACGCCACCCCAAGGTCGCCGCCTGTGCCCCACACCGAGATCACGCCGAGCTCAGGGCGGTCTTCCATTTTGGGGATCAACTCTGTCAGATCCACCAAGCTGCGACCTTTCTTCGCCGCCGCCTCCACGGCGATGTCGAGCGCCGCGGCCGTGCCTGCGGCCCGGTCAAGCTGCTGCTGCACGACGGACCTGGCGCCGCCGAAGTCGGTGATGAGGTTGTAACGCATGTTCCTCTGGCTCACGAACTCCACCCTGCCCTTGAGCTCCTTGATCTCCGCCGCCGCGTCGTCCATGGGCAGCGACACGGCCGGCAGGCAGGGCAGGACCAGCAGGCGGCGCCACCATCTGGGCTTGGGATCCAGGTGGACCACTAGCTCGATGCAGTCCTCCGTGTCGTAGGCCAGGTCGCGGAGCTGCCGCACCCACGTCTTGACGGCGTTGTTCTTGATGCGCTCCGCGTCGGCGACGTTCAGGAACGACTGCATCATCTCGAATTCCCCCGTGATGAACACCAGGTCGCTCTGCACCGCGAGCTTCAGCTTCGCCTCCTCGTCAATCGCCGCCTTCACCTTGACCAGCGTCCCCTCCACCACCGTCTTGGACAGTCCAAGCACGATCTCCTCCATTGCTGCCGCCCTCACGCCTGCTCACCAGCTTCTCTGTCTTATCCTCTCCCGTGGTCAATGGCTCAATCAAGACTCAGAGAGCAGAGTAGGTCTGCTAATTAGTGCCTCTCACAGAGGCAACGTCTCGAGATCTCAGATCTGGTTGAGACGGGATTAAGGGTTTGTTTGAGGTTGCTTCATTCAACTAAAATCAGCTCCACGCCATCAAATTCATTAGAGTAATTTGATTCAGAAGTTGTATATCTCCATATAAAGAAGCATGAGAGAATTCCTTATTTGACCCTTTCTTAAAATTTGCTTCCCTATTTGACCCAAAATAACTTTTTCTTTCATATTTGACACCTAAACTAAATTTTGTTCCTTATATGACACTTCCGTTCATTTTAGGCCCTGATGGTGTTAAGTGTGTGATGAAAATACCATTTTGCCCCTAATGGATTGTGTGCCTATCCTAGATGTAGTGCAATGGATGCTGCGCATGCCATGAGTTGCGGTTGTCAAACTGGAGTACTTTCTGGCGGAAGACTGCACGTACATGTAGCTTGGTTCCGTTGAGGCACGAGCTAGCTGATTCAGCCGGAGTTGAGGGGCACATACACACGAACGGAGGCAGGCAACCAGGTGAATTGATTCCACATGAACCTCATTACTTGTACATGCACGTATACACGATCGTCACGTACAAAGCTAACCTCCCCTAAGCACGACTCGGGTGATTGTTTCAGTGCACCGTAAGAGAGTTTAGAGAGAGGAGTCAGAGGTATTAGTTGCGAGGGCCGGGCAACCGGCGGCAGTGGCTGCCTCAGTCTGGGCGAGCGTGCTGCGCGTAGCTATGAGGCCGGGGTGGAGGTGCGCAATTGGATCGACGGGCGACGGCCGGTTGGCGCATGGCGACGGTACGTGCCAATGATTTGTACTAACTAGCAAACGCTGTCTCCCTGGCACAGCAGCATTTTCGTCAAAAGAAAAAAAGTTGCGTGTAGCTGGTTGCGGGCGTTCCCCTGGTCCTCCGCTGTGCGTGCTGTCCGATTGTCGTCGTGCTTGTCTGCCGGCTGTGCGTGAGGTCTAGGGCTGCTGATGTGTAATCAGAACGATGTGTTAATTGGAGGATTTAGTAGTATGTGACTGTGTAATACTGTACTCTGGAATGTGGTTAACTAACAAAACATTGGAGCATGCATACACATGTGCAGCTTGGGTTCAACATCCCTAGAACATGGATGTACTGAATGCTTTTTTTAATTCCATCCAACATAGTTACACAATGCACTAGGGACAAAATAGTCATTTCACCTCATACTTAACAACGTTAGTGTCTAAAATGGACGGAAGTATCATATAAGAAACGAAATGTACTTTGGGCGTCAAATAGAGAAGAAAATTTTATTTGGGTCAAATAGGGAAGCAAATTTTAAGAAAGGGCCAAATAAGGAATTCTCTCAAGAAGCAATTTATTATGTTTGCTTTCCAGCTAACTTCAGTGTTAAGAATAAAACAAATTGAAGGGAAAAGTCTGTTTATTTGAGGGGCCGCGCTACGCTTCCGACGGTGGATAAGTTGTAAACATCCGCCGCTTGATTGGTCATCGGATAGACGCGTTGATGGTCGTTCGATGTACTGCCCATGTTCCACATCTCCCTTCTGCAACAAGCGTCGTGTTACAATCCATTCGTTGCTGCCCCTCGTGCCTGACAGAGAAGCGTCGAGCGTGGCGTCACCCCAACCGCCACAAAATCAGCTGCCAACGGTGCGCGAGGCAACTCCTACTTGTACCTCACTCCTCTGCAACACCATGGCGCACCATATCACGCGCTAGATGCTTGGATCCGACGTAAATTAGCTCACCGAGGGGCCCTGCTCCGAGAACAGCAGCGACAATCATTCTCAACTCTGACCACCTCCGAGGAGCTTTCGCCGCGAGCTGGAGTCGCAACCTGGTTCACACCCCCCCCCGGTGGTGTTTTCTAATCTGCTTTAACCAGATCGCACCAAGAAGGCCGGGTGGGTTTTCTGTCTGTGAAACATGAACTATATCTGTGTTTGAAACATGAAGCCCTATCTAGAAAGGAGCTAAAATCATGTGTTCGTGTGTGTTGTACAACAAAGACACATCTCCTATCTTGTGTCTTCGAAATATGAGCCCCCTCCATTTTAATTGCATTATCCCATGTTTTCTTTCGTGTTGTTGATCAACATAATTGATGAAAATAGAATAAAATATTCATAAGAATAGCATGCCTATTAGTAAGAAATTTAATAAAAATATTAAAACTACAATTTTGAGGACTAATGGGTCTTGATTTCTTCAATACTAGTGGCATCTTTTTCTTTAGGGACATGAAAAATAACAAGAAAGTTTAGCATATACATGTCTCGTTTTCTAGCATAAAAATCATGGAAGGAGCCATCAAATCATCCTTGATGATCTCCCGGAAATACTGATAAAACATAAAGGAGAGGCCATCAGGTCCATGTGCCCCATCAGAGTAGGATATAAATATAGCATGCTTAACTTCTTCTTTAGTAAAGGAGCTTCTAAAGAGGTGTTATCTAAATCGGAGAGTTTATTCCCTCAGAGAAGAATTTGAGGTTAAAGCCTTTCTTATCCTCTTTTAAAAAGAGGTCCTTAGAGAAAGGGGAGGCAATGTACATCATCTCATTGAGGTAAGAAGTACGTCCATTGAAGCCTTCTAAGGAATGGGTCAAAGTTTTCCTCCTCCTTTGGTTAGCTATAGTGTGAGAATATTTATGTTTCTATCCCCTTACAAGATATCCCTATCTTTGGATCTTTGCCTATTCTTAACTTCATCTTTTAACCAAATTCTATTAAGATATTGTAAAACCTGTTTATCTCAGTGTCAACTTTAATGCCTAAAGAGTCAAATTCCATGGTAAGTGAAGTTTTAATCTTCCTAGTTTCAGTATCAACGTTCTTACTCTCACCTTTAGAGAATTTCTTAAACCTTATAACTTTCTCTTGCCAAGCAATAATTTGTGTTTTCCCTTTAACTGGGGCATTCTAATTTTTCGGCACTAAACTACTAAACTCGTCCCTTTAGAGACACCATTTTTGAAACTTGTAACTGGGAGGGTTTAGAATAGATCCAAACCTAGAGTCCCAAAGAAGTGGAGTGTGGTCACTACCTACCCCCTAGGGAGAGCCTGGTAGGGATTCAAAGGGAACGAGGCATCGAATTCAGTTTTAAAATAGATATCATATCTATTGTGGACATGAACAAGTTAGACTAGTTGTGGCCCCAAGTAATTATTTGTCTCCCGAACATCTTGATCTCATGGAGACTCGAGATTTCTATCTAGACATTAAATCTATCAGTCCAATGGTGGTCAATGTTCCCATTACTTTGTTCATGCTGGTATCTAATTAGGTTCAAGTCACCAACTATCAAAGTGTGTGGTGTGCGACTGCGGTAAATGTCTTACCTATCCTGGTAGACGTGTTGCATGTTATGTAGATAGGTTGCAAGCCCAGATATGCGTACAGGTTGTTTGAGGAGTACATCTTGGAGGAGAAGAATACAAGAGATAAGAGAATAAAAGATTACATGAGTATCTAGTCTAACTCCTCCTCCTTTGGTTTAGCAAGGATCTCCTCTTAACGTGCGCATGGTGTACAAAATCATATCACGTTTAACACCCTCCCTTAAACACAACTTCATCAAGTTGAGATTATGCTTGAAGTCTTCAAAACTTCCTCTGGGAAGAGCTTTGGTAAAACCATCTGCAACTTGGTCCCACTACCACTTGTAGAAAAGGGGGCATTCGTCCAGGCCGGGTCAGCCCATTAGTCCCGGTTCAATCCAGAACCGGTACCAATGGGGGCATTGGACCCGGTTCGTGAGCCCTGGGGGCCGGCTGGGCCACGTGGGCCATTGGTCCCGGTTTGTCTGGGCCTTTTGGTCCCGGTTGGTGGGACGAACCGGGACCAATGGTCCTTGCTCCTGGCCCACCATTATTGGTCCCGGTTGGAGGCATGAACCGGGACCAAAGGCCGCCCATTAGTCCCGGTTCATACCACCAACCGGGACTAAAGGGTTGGTCCTCGTTGCGGCCAGAGTTTAGTCCCACCTCGCCAACCGAAGGGGGCTCACACCGGTTTATAAGCCCCTCCCTCTCTGCCTTGTTGAGCTCCTCTCAAAATGAAAATAGATGCCCTTATACAGGAAATTTGACCTAAATTCATACTGAATTTCTCTGAAGTTAGTAGAAATTTATTATGAATTTAGGTTGAATTTTCTCTATAAGCGCATCTATGCTCATTTTTTTAGTAAAGTTAATCACAACTATTTTTTTCTATTTATTTCTGAGTAGTTTTTTATATAGTTTTTTTTTCTTTTCTGCTATATTTTATTTTTTCTATTTATTTCTGTGTGTTAATAAGTCATTAAAAATAAGCATCTATGCTCATTTTTAGTAAAGTTAATCACAACTATTTTTTCTTCTATTTATTTCTGAGTAGTTTTTTATATAGTTTTTTTTCTTTTCTGCTATATTTATTTTTTTCTATTTTTTTCTGTGTGGTAATTCATTAAAAATAAGCATCTATGCTCATTTTTTAGTAAAGTTAATCACAACTATTTTTTCTTCTATTTATTTCTGAGTAGTTTTTTATATAGTTTTTTTCTTTTCTGCTATATCTATTTTTTTCTATTTTTTTCTGTGTGGTAATAAGTCATTAAAAATAAGCATCTATGCTCATTTTTTTAGTAAAGTTAATCACAACTATTTTTTCTTCTATTTTTTTCTGAGTAGTTTTTTATATAGTTTTTTTCTTTTCTGCTATATTTATTTTTTTCTATTTATTTCTGTGTGGTAATAAGTCATTAAAAATAAAAAAGAGGCGCAATGCTAGTTAATTCGCTTCAAGCCTTTCAGAATAGTGTAAACTGCACTGCACATAGCTCCGTGCAGCCTACCCTATTCCTTAAGGCTTGAACCGAACCAACGTGCAGGTGAGCATTGAGCCTCTTCTTCATCGTCTC